ATATATATATATATATACATTTATTTCTTTTTTCATCATAAAAAAATTTATTATACATTGTATATATAAATTATTGAAACATCAATTTTTTGATCATTGTTTTCTTGATTCTTGAAAGCGTTATGATTGATCCGTGGATATAGTGAATATAGATCGATCAAGAGAAACGGAGGGTTGATATGGATGTAGCCTCCTATCTCTTTATATCCTCATTTAAGATCGAATTAAAAGAGCTACATACACCCTTGAAAAATTGTGCTCTTAAAATTTGCTATTAAAGTAGGATACGCACAATTTATATTTACTATATCTAATAATATATCGAGATAAATGATTATTCGTCAATATTTAATTTAATTGATTTAAATTAATGATTACTCGTTGACAAAGAAATGATAATTATATCTTTTTTCATTGTTAAATTTCACTGTTAAAATTGCACTTGTATTCGAAAACAGTTTGTCACGACACGGGGCAGTGTATCGTGCGCCTTGGTTCTTTTTTTACATAAAAAAACATCCTGTTCCAGCAAGCAACTCTGTTTACATATAGATTATTCTTGTAGTGAAACGAAGAGACAAATAAGTGAAGAGGTGTAATTTTTAAGATCGCTCTTTTTTTTTTTTTTTTTTTTTTTTTTTTTATTACGTCTCTTATTTGTTCTTGATATCGAAATGCATCTCCTCTCTCCGTGAAGACGAATGTACGGGCAATGTATATATAAACGGCCGATAAAGAGTTAACGGAAACTTATCGTGAACTCTGTACTGTACATATGTGTTGCGGTACTTTAAGAGATACTTTCCTATACATTATTATATATATATATATATCGCGCGATATATAGATACATATATTGCACATCAGTAATTTGTGTGTTTTCAATTCGATCACCCTATACATCATCTTTCGTATCCGCCATCCTGTTACGACGCATTAAATTTGTACCATCAGTATTACAGTATTTACGCTCATACCAAAATCGCAGCGATAAAAGAAGATAAATGTCAAAAGACAATTTGATCGCATCGATAATGTTGTTACGATAAATATAAATCGATGCAATCCATCATTGAAATAAAAAATAAAGGATGAAAATCTAAGATATAATTTCACAAGCTACGCATTTTTTTTTTCTACCGCATTATATGTACATTTCCATAATAATCGTTGAAGTTTTCACCGCTCTTGCCAATCGTAAACTTTCTCAATGAACGAATAATCTTTCTGGAAATGCGATACACAGCTATTTTTTACAATCGAATCTTTGATCATCCATCCACGAAACGAGTCATTTTACTTACTAGGATATGCCGAGCGATGTGTTAAACCACTCGTATCAACAGCTCCATAAACCCGCACGAACAAACACAATATGGACCAGCGCAAATGATTTTTCGCCGCAAATGGCCTTTTTACTCCTCCTCCCCTCCATCCCTCCCATTCCTCGGCGGGTTCGCTCGCGAAATGTTCCGCTAAAAAAATATATATATACATATACTATGTGTAATATGCCGAACGCGCGGTGTATATATACATATATGGACGAGTGGAGACATTAATTCGCGCCAATAAATATTCCCATCGTTCCGGCACATAAACCGCGGCGTTTGTCATACACACGCAGTCATTTCGGTTAAAAGGCATTCCCTCCGCCACTGAATGCAAATGCGAGTAGCTCGTTGTGCGTGCCGCTAGGGTTTCTAAAGTGCTTTCAATTACGCGTTCCACCTAACGTCCCAACGCGCGAGGCGACGCGACGCGGTCTTCTGAAGGCGGGGGGGGGGGGGGGGGGGGGAGGGGGGGGGAGAGGCCCGTATGAAAATAAACTGTTGCA